GAAATTCACAATTGTAAATCCCATTCACTCGCTTTATCGAAAGGAGCATATGGTATTCACATTTAACAATCTAATCAGACCAGGTCGCTTAAGGTGACGTAACGACTGTTGGTTGAGTCTTCCCACAATCCAATGAAGCTATGCATTACACAGAGCTTTGCTCCTACAATCATATGAAATTCGGGGTAAAATATGGTTTCAACCTCTCATGAACGGATTTTGATAGCGGATCTTGATTATCGTGGCAGATAAGATATTTTAAGCAAGCCAGCCCTCTACCAAGCTGGATTGTTGATAAACCAAACAAAAGATTAGCATTGCAATTGACGATACTACTTATTTTCGGTATAAGTAGGCTGTGATGATAACAGAAATTCTTGTCGGCACAACCATTTTTCGTTGCATAATGGGGCTTTTGACATTACCAATTGACCTAATAATAAAATGCGGGCTTAAAAGAATTTTATGAGATAAAAAATGTTGCTCTGATTTATGGCCGGTTTTGCGTACAGACGTTAACACACATACAAACACAGCCACGCTCGGGTATAAGTGAATAAACCAAATCTTTCTATATCCACACACATCTAATTTTTTCTCGTTATGAGTATATTTATCATACAGCAAAGAGCCGATCAGTCTTATTGGTTTAGTCTCAACTTTCGGCTTTTTCAAGAATGCGTCTCAGCTCAGAAGGTGTCTGTCATGTGACGTGATGAACGAAGGCTCAGCCCGTCTTTGTTTGAAACGTGGAAGGATGTCGAGTTGACCTTACGAATCTCTTCATCATACGCTTTAATGAGAAATGAAATTCTTCACAAATTTAAGACTTTAAGATCTGTATTCATCCTATTTCTCTTGAGGTGATCAAATACAGGTCGTGACAAGATTCAATCATCAGTCCTTTATCACTTTAAACGAAATTGGGTGAATACAGCTCCTATATCAATGGTCAACTATCACTACTTTTTTGTTTATGAGTAGGTTTTTGGTGCTATTAATACATCATTTATATGAGATGTATTCATTCTAGTTCAATTAATGTGATGACGGACTGGCAGTAGAAGTTGATCACATATTTCGATTGAATTTCACACGAACTTGCTTCGTAAAATGTATTATCATCCAGGCAGTAGTGGACTGCAGCTTGAACCTCGCCTCAACCGGTCTCATCAGCACCCCCGCGGGACTCAAACCCAGCTTGTGGTTGTGCAGGTCGACTACTACGTCAAAGCGGGTTCGAGTCCTGCTGGGGGGGGGAGGCTGGTGAGACAGGTTTGGTCGACGTCGAAACTGCAGGCCACTTTGGGCAGGTTGAGAATTGCTTTCGGGAGGCGAGGCGGTCATGTGAAATTTAGTGGAAAGTACGGTCTACTCAATTCTTCATAACTTTAAATGAAAACAGGTGAATAAAACTCAACTATCGCTTTAAGCGATCTAAAGATACTAAGTTGTGATCCGAAAAATACTGATAGTTGAGAAAACTAATTATCTGAAAAATAAGCAACGTCGTCGATTGTAACGGCGAATAAATGTTTGCTTAATTGACATTTCCACCATAAAAGTGTGGTTTAGAAGAGGCCTGGCTTTCTTTGAATGTCACCGCTGTTCTGTGACTCACGGTGTCGTGAAGTCGCCACGATACTCATGACATGGGCTCGAAACCCGCTAGCGGTGATGAGGAGGCTGGTTGAGTAGAGGTCGAGATTGCAGTCCAGCCCAATCTAGCCTGAATGGGAATATTATTCGGTTAGCTCCATCATTGGATTCGGAAAAAACTAGGCTACCAGTTCTCAAATCACCTGACAATTCTTGGCCTGACCGAGTTTTATAGAAGTGGGTTGACCTCGTTGTTGAAACTTGGTCTTGTTGTCATGGCGACTGTGTAGAACGCACCTAGTCCGAAGTCGTCTGCAAGTCAGTTGTCATGATTCCTAGCATCTGACAGTATACTTGGCACATTTTCAAACGTTTCGCCGACATCGTCGACGGCATCATCAGTGAGCTTAAAAATTCTTCGCACAAAATGAAGTCAATGCCTCGACAAACTTTATGCGGAAAAAC